CATGCGGACGGTCCCACTGGTGGATCCGGTGGAGCTCCCTATGGGGCCACGAATCGCTATATTGGGTGGGTGAAAATACCAAATTGGGCGCGCGGGACGCATGCGAACGGTCCCACTGGGGGATCCGGTGGAGCTCCCTAGGGGACCACGAAACGCTGTACTGGGTAGGCGAAACATGTCAACTTGGGCGTGCGGGACGCATGTGGACGGTCCCATTGGGGGCTTCGGTGGAGCTTCCTATGGGGCCACGAAACGCTGTACTGTGTGGGTGAAACTGCCAAATTGGGTGTGTGGGACGCATGTGGGCGGTCCCACTTGGGCCTCCGATTGGGCTCCCTTTTGGGGCCACGAAACGCTGGTCTGGGTGGGTGAAAATGTCGAAATGCGTGTGCGGGACGCATGCGGGCGGTCCCACTGGGGGTTTCGGTGGAGCCCCCCAATGTGGCCACGACGAAGCGCTGTACTAGGTGTGGCGGACGCATGTGGCCACCCCACTGGGGCCTTCGGTGGAGCTCCCTATGGGCCACCAAACGCTGTACTGAGCGTGGCGGACGCATGTGGCCACCCCTACTGGGGCCTTCCGATGGAGCTCCCTATGGGGCCACGAAACGCTGCACTAGGTGTGGCGGACGCATGTGGCCATCCCCCACTGGGACCTTCGATGGAGCTCCCCATGGGGCCACGAAGCGCTGTACTGGGTGTGGCGGACGCATGTGGCCACCCCTACTGGGGCCTCCGATGGAGCTCCCTATGGGGCCACGAAGCGCTGTACTGGGTGTGCCCCACTGGGGCCTCCGATGGAGCTCCCTATGGGGCCACGAAACGCTGTACTGGGTGTGGCGGACGCATGTGGCCACCTCTACTGGGGCCTCCGATGGAGCCCCACCCCATGAGGCCACGAAGCGCTTGTTTGGATGGGTGAAAATGTCAAATTGCGCGTGCGGGACGCATGGGTGGGGTCCCACTGGGGGTTACCCCACTGGGGCCTTACGTGGAGCTTCCCATGGGGCCACAAAACGCTGTACTGGGTGTGGCGGACGCACGTGGTACCTCCCACTGGGGCCTTCGGTGGAGCTCCCTATGGGGCCACGAAACGCTGTACTGGATGTGGCGGACGCATGTGGTACCCCACTGGGGGGGGGCACGGAAGGAGACGCGGGGACCGTTTCTGCAAAACGAAAACTCACAGGATAGTTGGGAAATGCTCAGAAAATAATCCCCTGATTATTTTTCACTATTTTTGCATATTCCTCCTGTGGAAGGACAGGCCCGACTAACTTCTAGGGATGACGAGCCGGTGGCTTCCGACTACCAGGATAGACGACGGCCCACTCTCAACGTGCGGCTCTCGCCGACGCCCCCGCGCACACTCGAGCCAAAAGCTTGCAACTGTTTTTTCAAGAGTGGGGGGCTGTTCCTTCTCCTAATAGGGCCCTCGCCCAAAAACAGCTGCACGGATGGAGAGCCTCTCCTTCTGAAAACCAGCATGGATGTCGCTAGGGGGCTTCCGTGCGGGTCATGGCCAGACGTGCGAACTTGTGCAACAATGACATGGATGGGGGAGGGGGGGAGATCCTGTTCAAAACCGGGGGGGGGCTCTCGCCTGCATGGCAGGAGATTCGAGAAATTGCGACACAGAGCTCTCCTGACGGGGTGGAGCTCTCTGACGGCGCGTGGCGGGCTGGCCAGGAGTAGAAGGTAGGAAGGTAGGAGAAGGAGGTACAGGAAGAGGAAAAGGAGGAGGAGGAGGAGGAAGCAGGAAGGCAGGAGGGGGACGAGGGGGAGGGGAGGAGTGTGAAGGAGGGGGAGGGGGAGGAGGAGATGGAGGAGGAGGGGGGATGAGGAGGAGGAGGAGGAGGAGGACGGAAGGGGTCACGGAGGATAGATTTGAGGAGGATGATACCCACATGGTGCTCGTCCGAGGGGAGACGGCTGAAACGTACAGGAGCCCCCTCCTCCCTACTGCCCCTTCACGCCAGCATGCCGTCCAGCGCGCACGGACACCTGTCTCTGTTGAGGGGTGCAGGCCTAGGGGGATATGCGGGCCGGCTCAGTCGCACGAGGAGGAGGAGGAGTGAGGAGGAGGAGAGGAGGAGGAGGGGGGGAGGTGATCGAGGTTCGGATTTAGCGCTTAGGAGGAGGAGGCGGCTGTGTAGGGACTTTTATGGAGGAGGGTAGGAGGAGCTGGAGGAGGAGGGCAGGGAGGAGGAGGGAGGGAGGAGGAGAGTAGTAGTTAAAAATGTCGAGTTGACTAGACAATAAATGACGCGGGTAATATGGATCGAGAAGATGAGTGGCCCACATCGGAATAAGATAAGAATAATAATCTTTTGAATAAAGTATAATAATAATAATTATAATAATTCATAATCAAAATTCATAATCGTTAATCATAATCATAATCATAATCGTAATCATAATCATAATACTAATACTAATAATAATAATAATAATAATTATAATAATACTAATAGTAATAATAATAAGAAGTGTAATATTATTATTATTATTATTCTTATAATAATAATACTAATAATAATAATGATGATAAGACAACTTAGCAGAAGATGAAGAATGCCTGGCTTTGCGCTGCATGTCTGATGTCTCATGCCTGCTGCTGATCATGCAATATACAACAAAGCACATCTGCCAATCGAACGAACGTGTATCCCTCGAGGTCAGGGTAAAGCGCAGAGGAGGAGGAGGAGGAGGAGAAGGAGCAGGAGGGAGGAGGAGGAGGAGGAGGGGAATGGAGGGTGGAGAATGAAGCCCCCTAACGGTCAAGGGGCGCCCCTCTCCCAATACTACTGCCCCCTTCTCCCACCCTTCTCCCCCTCCCCCTTCCTCCCCTCTGACAGCCTCTAGGGCGTTCGAGGAGGTCCCAAGGATTGGGAGCCTACTTCCCTCGACCCACCCAGAACAGACCCGCCTCCGCCGCCGCCTCAGCCTCGGCCTCCTCTTCCTTCTCATCATCCTCTCTCCTGCTATTATTGCATACTCTTCTTCCTCCCTCCTCTTCATCCTCTTCCTCCTCCTCTCCTCCTCCTGCCTCCTCCTTACTCATCCTCCTCCTCCTCCTCGTCCCTCCCTCTCCTTCTCATCCTACTCCTCCTCCTCCTCCTCCTCCTCCTCCTCCTCCTCCTCCTCCTCCTCCTCCTCCTCCTCCCCCACTCCTTCTCCTTATCGATAACTCCTCCCTGTTTCACCCCGCGGCTGGTCGAAAGGGCGGGCTCGGCGTTTCGACAGGGACTTCCTCACTATTGATCATGCTGAAGGTGTTGTAGACTGGCAACAGTTGGACGGATGAAGGGCGGGTGGTTATCAAAGTGTGGCTCTCGCCTGAGCGCCGCGCACATTCGCCTTAAACACGTGCAAGAGCTTTACGGATTGAGGGCGGGTCGTTTTCGAAATGTGGCTGTCGCCTAAGCGCAGCGTGCACTCGTCTTAAAATTTTAAAAATGTGCAATATCTTCACGGATTGAGGGCGGGTCGTTTTCAAAATATGGCTGTCGCCTGAGCGCCGCGTACAATCGAAGTTGCAAGAGTTTCACGGATTGAGGGCGGGTCGTTTTGAAACTGTGGCTCTCGCCTCAGCGCCGCGCAGAAACAACTGCAAAAGAGTTAGGGATTGAGGGCGGGTAGTTTGCAACATGCTGCTCTCGCCTTGGCGCCGCGCACATTCGTTTTAAACATTTGCGGGAGGTTTCGCGGATTGAGGGCGGTTACTTTTCAACATGTTGTTCTCGCCTGAGCGCTGCGCACATTCGAGTTAAACATGTGCAAGAGTTTCACGGACTCCCATGGCTAACGTACCAGAAATGGTGCTTTGGAACGGTTCGGGACTGTCAGGGCGCAACACTTACGTGGATTCGCGGTGTTGAAGTCCCAAGAATGGTGTTCTGGCACGGCTCAGGATCGTCAAGACGCCACAGTCAGGTTAACTCGTGGCGTTGAAGTTCCGAGAATGGTGTGTGGGCACGCTTCAGGATCTTCAAACAGTTGTCTCCCCACGGGGCATTTCCCTCAGTGAAAATGAACCCTGTATGGGGCCTGTGAAGAGAGAGCTTTTCCAACATTGTTGATGAGTCTTGGGTTTACACCGGTCCTCCTCCTTCTCCTCCTTCTCCTCCTTCTCCTCCTCTTCCTCATCCTTCGAACGTCGAGCTGCGGGCGGTGCTGTACCTGGGTAATGGGGCCGTCGATGGCCCTCCTCCTGGCCATCGCCAAGAGGACGAAGAAGGGAACGACCGAATGGCGGGCGGATCCTGGATGCAGGGAGAGGTGAGTGAGGGTGGTGCTGGTGCCTTCGCCTGTACGCGCTCAGGGCAGCTCTGGCGACCCTGCCGCACTCTCAGGAGCCCGGCCCAAACCTGGCTGCACTTGGGGAGGGGAGGGAGGAACACGCAGCGAGGAAAGGCAGAGCGAGGGATCCAAGGACGCGCGGGCGTCTCCGAAGCGCCGGGGGCGCGGCGTGGCATTGGGGGTGGCCCGTGCGTGGACACCCGCGGTGGCAGCCTGAAGGCGCGGTCCCGGTGGGTGCTGTGTGCTCCGCAGCCGCCGCCCATGCTGGGCGGTGCTGCGGCGTCAGCTGGTCCGCGGGGCCTGGCGAGCGGCTCCTCCTCCTCCTCCTCCTCCTCCTCCTCCTCCTCCTCCTCCTCCTCCTCCTCCTCCACCTCCTCCTCATCCCTCCTCCTCCTCCTCCTCCTCCTGCGGGGCCAGCTGGTCCGCGAGGTCGTCGCAGGCAGGGGGCCTGGCGGGCCGCAGGAGAAGCGGCCCTGGCGGTGAGGATGTGGTTCCTCGCGACCGCCGCGCCTGCGCAGTGCGGGCGACGCGCCTGGCCCCTGCCGCGGTCGCTCTGGCGAGCGGCTCCTCCTCCTCCTCCTCCTCCTCCTCCTCCTCCTCCTCCTCCTCCTCCTCCTCCTCCAGGAGGAGGAGGAGGAGGAGGAGGAGGAGGAGGAGGAGGAGGAGGAAGAAATATAGCAATGGAAAGATCCCCGAGCCCCGTCTCCTGTGTTGACTGGAGCCGGATCTTCGCGATGTTGTAGGCCGTGAACGCGCCGATGTTCCCCACGTACGCGGCCACCATGAGCCAGCCCCAGCCTAGGAAGGGAAAGGTGCACGCCAAGCTGCCTGACAAGCGCAGCGCCCTGACATCTGACAGTCGAGAAACGCACTACGGCCGCCGTTTTTGGTCACACTCGGGCCCCCGTCACCCTCATAGATCGATCCAGCTAGAAGCATTCCGCTCAAAAACCTTGGTCTAGGAGCTCCGCTCGTGGTTCGTTCAAAACGATATCTTCGCGACGCCGGCTGGCCGCGGGAGCTCATATGGCACCCGCTGGCGGAAGGGGAGCGACGGAAGAGGCGGTCGAGCATGTGTGGCGAGGCCCACGGGCCGTCTGCCGGGTAGGGCTCCAGGCCCAGCACCATGGCGAGGACGATCGTGACGGCCTTGTTGAAGTTGCCGGCGAACGCTGTGTGCGTGGCAGACAGCCGCTGCACGATGCCGTACTTGAGCAGGTTGAACGCCAGCGCGAACACGCCGGAGAGGGCGGCCAGGTACACCACGCCCCGGTTGGAGTCCCAGACCTCCTCCGCGTGCCGAGAGTATAGGGGCCCAGGGACACACCAATAAACAGACACAAATCCCAAGATTCACCTTCTTTCCCCATATTTTCTGGGTTTCCGTCTTCCCCCCCGCTTCCCATATTTTCCCGCATTTTCCTGGGCGTCGACGATGAATTGCGTCTGTGTTGTCGTCCCCTCCTGAGAGTTCTGCCCCCGACCCTCAGAGACTCGAGCTCGGCGTTTTTCCGGCAGCAGCACATGCTGTCCAGCACCAGCAGCGGCCGCGGTTGGGCCGGCGGCCTTCTGTCTCCAGTGGATCACCGTCCGCGGCGACACCGACGGCGAGTCCTGTTCCAAATGAACACAGGAGCTGCTGTCGGCAGTTGGGGATCCAGCTGCTCCCGGGACCTCTCCCGGGGTGCGTTCTGACCAGGATCTCGAGGCGAGTCCGGCGGTGGCGACGAGGGCCTCCCAGGAGACACAAAAAGAGGAGAACGGCCGAAGGGTAGCGGTATGGGTACCTTTTCCTCCACTGAGCCTTTGTACCCGTACTTTTAGGTCGGGCATGTCCTCCTACAGGCGGATTTTGGAGGAATATCCTGGCGAAGGTCCCAACCATATGCAGTTGTGGACTACTACTACGAACGATATGTATTCCCGAGGACTTCCGAGGGAGTTTCGGGATTTCGCAGGGAACCCTAAGGATTCCATGTGACCCCTTCTGCTAGACTGAGGGTGTCCGAAGGACCCCTAGGGATTCCTCGGATGAGCCCTCAGGAAGCCCGAGAGCGCCCTCCGAGGCCCCCGCTCAAGGGGGCGGCAGCCCCAAGACGACCCTCAGGTGGGCCCAAGAGGTCCGAGACAGCCCCCGAGAAAACGTTCAAGGGGGCCCAGGCAGCCTCAAGACGACCCTGAGGGGGGCCAAGGGGTCCGAGACAGCCCCCGAGAAAAAGCTCAAGGGGGCCCAGGCAGCCCCAAGACGACCCTCAGGGGGCCCAAGAGGTCCGAGACGGCCCCTGGGAAAAGCTCAAGGGGCCCCAGGCAGCCCCAAGACGACCCTCAGGGGGCCCAAGAGGTCCAAGGCAGCCCGCGAGAGAAAGCTCAAGGGGGCCCAGGCAGCCCCAAGACAACCCTCAGGGGGCCCAGGAGGTCCGAGACAGCCCCCGAGAACAGCTCACGGGGCCCCAGGCAGCACCAAGACGACCCTCAGGGGGCCCAAGAGGTCCGAGACGGCCCCCGAAAAAAGCTCAAGGGGGCCCAGGCAGCCCCAAGACGACCCTCAGGGGGCCCAAGAGGTCAGAGACGGCCCCCGAGAAAAAGCTCAAGGGGCCCCAGGCAGCCCCAAGACGACCCTCAGGGGGGCCCAAGAGGTCCGAGACAGCCCCCGAGAAAAAGCTCAAGGGGCCCCATGCAGCCCCAAGACGACCCTCAGGGGGCCCAAGAGGTCCAAGGCAGCCCGCGAGAGAAAGCTCAAGTGGGCCCAGGCAGCCCAAGACGACCCTAGGGGGCCCAAGAGGTCCGAGACAGCCCCCGAGAAAAGCTCAAGGGGGCCTAGGCAGCCCCAAGACGACCTCAGGGGCCCAGAGGTCCGAGAAGCCCCGAGAAAAAAGCTCAGGGGGCCCCGGATCCCCAAGAAGACCTCAGGGGGCCCAACAGGTCGAGACAGCCTCCGGGAAAAAGCTCAAGAGGCCCCAGGCAGCCCCAAGGACGCCTCGGGGGCCAAGAGGTCCGAGACGGCCCCCGAGAAAGCTCAAGGGGCCAGGCAGGCCAAGACGCTCAGGGGGACCAGAGGTCCAAACAGCCGCGAGGGGGAGGAAAAAGCTCAGGGGGCCCAGCAACCCAAGACGACCTCAGGTGGGCCCAGAGGTCCGAGACAGCAGAGAAAAGCCAAGGGGGCCAGGCAGCCCAAGACGACCCTCAGGGGGCCCAAGAGGTCCGAGACGGCCCCCGAGAAAAAGCTCAAGGGGGCCCAGACAGCCCCAAGCCGACCCTCAGGGGGCCCAAGAGGTCCGAGACAGCCCCCGAGAAAAGCTCAAGGGGGCCCAGGCAGCCCCAAGACGACCCTCAGGGGGCCCAAGAGGTCCAAGACAGCCCCCGAGAAAAAAGCTCAAGGGGGCCCAGGCAGCCCCAAGACGACCCTCAGGGGGCCCAAGAGGTCCGAGACAGCCCCCGAGAAAAGCTCAAGGGGCCCCAGGCAGCCCCAAGACGACCCTCAGGGGGCCCAAGAGGTCCGAGACAGCCCCCAAGAAAAAGCTCAAGGGGGCCCAGGCAGCCCCAAGACGACCCTCAGGGGGCCCCAAGAGGTCCGAGACAGCCCCCGAGAAAAAAGCTCAAGGGGCTGCTGGAGAGCATCCCAGCTGCTGGAGAGCATCCCAGGGCAACGGAGGAGGAGGAGGAGGAGGAGGAGAAGGAGGAGGAGGAGGAGGAGGACGAGGAGGAGGAGGAGGAGGAGGAGGAGGGTGGAGGAGGAGGAGGAAGGAGGAGGATAAGGCGGAGGAGGAGGAAGGAGGAGGAGGAGGAGGGGGAGGGAGGAGGAGGAGGAGGGAGGAGGGAGAGGGAGGAGGAGAGGAGGAGGGGAGGGGGAGGGAGGAGGAGGAGGAGGAGGAGGAGGGAAGGAGGAAGAGGAGGAGGAGGAGGAGGAGCAGCAGGAGGAGCAGGAGGAGGGAGGAGGAGGAGGAGGAGGAGGAGGCAGGAGGAGGAGGAGGAGGAGGAGGAGGAGGAGGAGGCGGAGGAAGGAGGCTCGGAGACTTGGAGACTACCTCGAGGGGAAAACCCCTCGCTCGCCACACCGGGCGCGTCACAAAACTCACGAATCTTCGAAGCTACAGACCTCGAAAATGTCGACCTCTGCAGCTTGCAGGCCCTTGTACTCGGAGATAAAACACACAACCGAGGACGGGTCAGCGAAGCCATGCAGACGGGCGACCTCATGGTCAATGAGAGGAGGAGCAAACTGGAAGCCGTATCCCACCGTCCCAACTCCAGTCCCAGCGCCTCCCCCAGAAGATCCAGCACGCTGCCCCCGCGCGTCCTCGAAGCCGCCGCCGCCGGCCAAGGACGGGAGGCGCGCGCACCAGTGATCTCGCAGCACCTGCGAGGGCGCGCGGTAGGCCTCCAGCACCGCGTTCAGTCGACCTGGGTATTGACCTTTCCTGAGACGGGCTCTCTGGGTCCTGAGACCTGGGGCATCACTCCCCTGGCAGGCCGCATCGAGCCCCGCTCCCCTGGAGAAGTGCTTACCTACCGAGGCTCCACACTGCATACAGAAGAGAACATTCGTGCCTGTTTCAATCTCAGGCCCCCCGGGAGCAGACACCACCGAGGCCTGGACGACCGAATGGCCGTTCACTGCCCACGGGACTCCTTCAAAGCAAAGGCTGCCCAAAGGCCCCTGAGGAGAAGGGGCAGCAGCAGCAGCAGCAGCAGCAGCAAGCGTGCAGGAGGCAGAGGAGGTGGAGGGGACGAAGGGACCATCGGCATATGGTTCCACCCCCTCTTCGGCGCACTCGGCCGGCAACATCCTGCCCTCAGAGGTGGCATTCAAATCGACGACGAGATCCGAGGTCCCAGCCACCCCCTGCGAGTCCGAAAGCTCAAGGGCCCCAAACATTTAATGGGCCCTCGCATGCCATCGCGACGCTGCTAGGGCGAGCGTCTCAACGCCCTCAATGAACAGCACTTGTTGGGGCGGCACGGCCCAGAGCTTGGCACCCTTCTTGGCCCAGAAATCAGCGAGGCGGTTTCCGCGGATGCACCACTCCTCGTGGTCGTCCGCAGCAGACTCCAGACTGACATGGGCGCGGACCTTATGTACACTGGCATCCTTGCCAGCCCCGGCCCACCACTGCTCCCAGAAGTGGCGACGAGGGTTGTTGAGATCAAGCCCAACACCCACATTCGAAGCACAGCCAATGGAACCTGCACAATCACTGTAAACAACAAGAGGGTTGTCTGGATCAGACTCTGCTACATCAGACAGGACATGAAACGCGTAGTCCTCCGCGTCTCTCGCAGGCTGCTCTGGGGCAAGATGGGGGGGGACGACCCCGTAGACCGCACCAATGAGATTCCCCGCAGGGTCAACTTGGACTATGGCCCATCCACACCGCGAGAGACCTGCCAAGGTGGTGTGAAACGCACTGCCGCCCCCGAAAATCTCCAGCCCACGGGGACCCAACCCAACGCCTGAGATGCTCAGGGTTAGCCTCCAGCTTCGGGAAGCAGCGGGAGGGGGAGGGGAAGAGGCAGCGACAAAAGAGTTCGCCGTGCACCTCGCTTTTGTCCCTGACTCTCCTAGCCGCCTCCTGGAGGAACTGGGGGCACTCTTCACGACGAATGTGCTGCAAGCGCGGACATTCGTAAAGCCGATGAAACAGAGTCCCCCTCTCCCCACACAGAAGGCATCGATCGTGCTGACTCTTGCCGTGGGCCAACAAACGAGCTTGCGGCCAGTGGGTCCCTCCCACCAGCGACCGCATGGCATTCTTATGGTGAGCGGTCTGACTCCCGTTTATCCAGGAGGCGACGGACAGGAGCCCAGTGCAGAGGCGCTTGCCAGGCGCCCTCGAGGCGCCGCAACGACATCACGTCAGACGCGTCGAGAGCCATCTGACGGACGCGATCGCAGCAGAAGCCGGGCGAAAACTGAAGCACAGAATACTCCACATCCTGGGCCACAAAACTGAACGCCGATGGCATTCAAATGCCCACGCGGGCAAAACTTAAAAGCGCTGCTTGTGCTGGGTCCACGCACTGAGCCCAAGGACGGGGCCGGGCCAAAAAAGACAGACCGGCAGACCAGCAAGCCTCCAAAGGCCCGCGCCCAGGAAGGGCCGAGATGGCCGCAAGGGCCCAGTGTTTCATGACCTCTACTGTGTGGACTACCAGCGGGTCGCGGAATGCACCACGTGGCGAAGCTCGCAAACGCAAGCCGACAGATGCACCAGCAGGTAGGCGGCCTTCAGCACGTGAGGCTGAGACCCGGAGCCCGTGCAGCTTAAGATCCGAGATCCCAGTCACGGCCGACCCCCACACCGCCGTCGCCGTAGGAGACCCCCTCATAACAGTGCTGACTTGCACTCCAGCTCCACGAAGCTGAATTACCTTGGCTGTGACACGCTTGGCTTTCTCAAGCCGTCTGTCCTGCTCGCCTGTACGCCGTGCAG